GAATGGAAATGCCACAGTGATTCCACATGTCTCTCTAGGAGCCTTCTCTCTTTTGAGACAGGATCTCAGGAAGTCCAGGCTGACCTTAGACTTATGTAGCCAAAGCTGACCCTGAAGAACTCCTCATCTTTCTGCCTCTATCTCCCAAATGCAGGGATTACAGGCCTACATCGCCATGCTTGGTCCCAAGAGCTACCCTTTTGACATGAAACTGCTAGTCACATCACACATTTGCCTAAATCTCCCAATGACTTCCCTCTGTCCTCATATACAAAGTCTAAACTCAGGACACACCCCCACGATCTGGTCCCTAATTCTCACATTAGCCCACATCTTCCAACAATTCTCTTCCCTCTCCCAAACTCTCCCCTTCAACAGTTTTTTTTTTCCTGGACTCTAGGTTCAGGTTAGGAATTGTTGGGTGACCCTCCAGACTACCCCATACTTCCCCTATCTGGGTGTCTTCAACACAGTGTTCCAGTCAGCTGTCTGAATCTCATTCCCTACATAGCACCACCTCTCAAATTGTTCCTCATGAATGGAGAGATGCTCTCTTGACCACTAACACATCATCCCCCAGTGTCAGGTCACATTAGATGACTGAATGATCGTCTCCTGGGCTCCCAGTGTTTCTCTTATTGATTCTTGTGAATTCTTGATATGTTAAAGATGTGACCCCTCTGCCATCGGCTGAGATTATTTGCCTTTAAAGTTGGTTATTTTTGCCATGGGTGATAAGGATGAGGGAGAAGGCTTGGAAAACTTTTCAGTGTTAATATGAACAGATCAGTTGATTCTCTTCTGTCTCTGTCCTGTCCACTACTCCCAAGTTGACCAAGTCTCCCTCACTGGAGATTTGATGAGTAAATGGTCACTTCTGTTTTCTGCTGCCAGCAAGGCCTGGATCATCCCACTCTCTTGCTAATAGAATGAATGAATGAATGAATGAATGAATGACTAAAACAAAATGTAAACAGTCTCCTAAGAGCATTTAGAACAATTTCCAAATTGTTTAGTTTGGCCTGAGAGGCTCCAAGCCTGCTGCTCTCTTCCCAACCTTTTCTGGAAGTTCCCTCCCTGGCCCCCCCCCACACATACCGCCCCCCTTTTCTCTCTGGATGTGTTTGTTTTTGCTGGTCCTTAAGCACAAAATGCCCTGTAAGAAGATCTTTAAATCTTGCATATGCCTCAAGCTCAACTGTTTCTAAAAAGCCTCATTTTCAGCCCTCAGGAGACAGGAGTATTGCCATGAGGTAGAGACCAGCCAGGTTTCACAGTAAGACCCTATTTTAGAAGAACAAGAAACTTGAGCTGATGAGACAGCTTAGTGGGTTAAGGGTTCTTGCCGATAAGCCGGACAACCTGAGTTCGATTCCTGGGACCCACGGGTGGAAGGAGAGGGCTGATCCTCTAAAGTAGTTTTCTGGTATGTGTGCTGTGGCATATGCACATCCCCTCCAAACTAAATAAATGTGAAAACGAAGCAAAAACAGAGACAGGGCTGGGGATGCAGCTCAGTTGGTAGAGGGCTTACCCAATGTACATGAAACCCTAAATTAAATCCTTAGCACACACAAACTGGGTTTGGTGTCGCATGCTAGTAATCCCAGCACTACAGGAGTTCAAAGTCCTCCTCAGTTACATAGCTAGTTGGAGGCTAGCCTGGGCCAAATAAGACCTTTCTCAAAAACAAACAAGCCTCACCTTACCCCTCCTTTTGGAAAGGTAGACAGTAGAGAGATGAGGATGTGAGCTTCGAAGGGTCCCCTTGTTTTCTATTGGCCTCATCCTTCAGCCTTCCCAGTGCCTTAATCCCCACCCCCTTCTCCTGCTAAAGATGAAACTTGGGGGTCTTATGCATGCTAGGCAGGTGCTGGAATTATGCCTCCAGACCCCAGTTCATGCCTTTAAAATAGGAACCAAAAGCAATGAAGACCATATTAGATGGGTGTGATGTCCTATGTTAGCAGGCCAGTACCACGTCCCACATTCCTTTATATAGAATCTACTACTCCAGTCATACCTTCTCAAGTTGTGTTTCCCAGAAGGTGAATGGCTCTCAAACTCCTCCATCAGGTGGGTGAGCTTTCCCTCCGGGCAGATTTCATCTCTGGGAACCAGCCCAGGCCCTGGGGACACCTACATGTATTTCACACACCTGTTTGCCTGAAGTAAACCCTTCCTTCCTTTCCCTCCATCTGAGCTCCAGGGGTTTCCTCAGTCTTCATATTAAGCCCCAAAGAGGTCCACCAGCACCCAATACCCCCAACATATCAGCAACCTCAACACAAAGGAATTAAATGAAAGATAAGCCAACCCTATTTTAAGGTGGGTAAACTGAGGCTCAAACTAGTATTGGTAGTTGGGTCTAGAGATTGTGTGTTTTTAAAGCCAGAGAAACGGTTTCCTCATGAGGTCCTGGGAGTGCTAGGGTGGGTAACAAAGCCTGGACTGTAGGGCAGGAGATGAGGGAAGGTGTCCTGGCTCTCAGACCCCTCCCTTGGTCCACAAAGCAGCTGATGGTGCTCTCTCAGAGGCCACCCTGGCAGTCAGCATCTATTGTTTAGTGAACACAGATTATCATATATTAGAGACTGTCTCTCTTGTGTCTTTTGAGGAAGATTAAGATGATGTGTGTCTCTGGGGCTGAGGGTGAGGACTCCCTGGATAGTAAGAAGTACACGTTTAGTATCAGGAGACCTGGTTCAGGTTTAGATCTAACTAAGCATGCTGTGTCCACTTAGGCAAACATACCTGGCCCTGGGACCCTAGCTATCCTACTATAAAATGGAGAGGCTGTGGGATGGAAAGATCTGTGCTAGCATGATCTTCACATTCTTAGAATTCTCCAAGAGCTGTTCCTCACCCAGCCCTGCCTGAGCCCAGACTGTCCCCAGGGTCTGACTTCATCACTGGGCTGACCAAGTCTTTGACTCCATACAGCTGCCTGCACCGGCCATCCGGCCTTTCCCCAGGATCCTGGCCAGACTTCAGAGCCCCAGTGGAACAGGGGCGGCAGGCGGTCATCTCTGTGAGGCCCAAGGGCACAGGACTGGGGTATCCAGACCTGTGTTTGAACTCCCCAGTCTCTTCCCTCTTCTTGGAGCCAACATCCTTCTCTCCCTCCCTGGTGAAATCTGAGCTCAGGGATCCAGGGAGAATTCTGGCTGCAGAACATTCCATCCAGTTGTCCAAACACTGCACAGCTGGCGGAGGGAGGGGTAGCCAGAGGAGGCATCAGGAGCCCAGAGGTTATGTTGTTTTCATGGAAATGAGGAGACCTTGCTGGGGGATTAGGGGGACTGGGTGGGGTGTGTGTTCAAACCCTTGCTGCCTGGAAAGGCTCACAGGACAAGGAAGACAAACAAAGCAGTCCCCTCTGCTCACAGTTTCCTGGTCCTGCTTGCCCCAAGGTCACCCTGTGGCTCTCCTGCAGAAGTAGATCCATCTACCTCAGAGCCTGCCCAGCCAGGTCTGGGCAGCTACCTCTCGCCTTGGGAGTCTCACCTCGTGACCAGACTCCAGGCTCAACCTCAAGCCATAGGGGGAGGGCAGGTAGGGATGAGTAGCACCAGAGACACTAGACAGTTCTGTTGCCAGCTGGCCCATTCCCAACTGTCTCCTGGTGCCCACTCAACGGTGACCCTGGATGACTCTTCAAGCCTCAGTTTCCTGATTTGCAAGTGGAGAGGGTTAACCCCTTACTGGCTCTGGAAAAGGACTCCATAGACCCTCCCTTTCAAGCAAATGCCCAGAGAGCATCTTGTTTCTTTGTGAGGTCCCCAGCACCTCTGACTCAGTTTCTCCACCAAGGGTCGCCTCCCAATGCCTTTTGCCCCTGTCCAGGCTGGGGTGGGTCTGGCTAGTAGGAGATGCACACCCCCTTTCTGCACATCCTGTTTTCTGCTAATGGTTTCCAGGTGAGGCCTTGGTTGCCCTGCGGAGGAAGGTGGGGGCACTGGAGAATTTAGTAGGGGGATGAGCGAGAAGCAAAAACAGGAAGGGGGTGGGAGCAGGCCATGGAAAATTCACAGCCAGGAAGCCCTCTGCCAGCATCTGGCTTACATTAGGCTAAGCAAGCTTCACAGCCCAAAGCTCAGCAAAGATACTGTTATCCACTGGCGGGCTGGGCTGGGTGTGACGCTGGTGGGGAGGGGCCCAGAAGGACCCAAAGGCTGACCAGAGGCAATAGTGAAAGTAGAGGAGGAGGGAGGTAGGGGATGCTCCTGTCTCCCATAGGGAAGAAAGAATAGTTCCCATTTTAAAAGGGCTGAGTACCAGAGAGGCTAACCAACTGGTTCAAGGTCACACAGCCAAGGAAGAAATCTTTTCTATTTTGAAAGGGACACAATGGGATGAAGCTGAAGTTAGTTGTAAGGATTGGGTGTGTGGTTCAGCTTTTATCTTGAATACACAAGGCTCCAGCTTCAATTCCCCCAGCATTACCATGACCACCCTGCTCAGAAGAAAGAGAGAGGGGGAATGTGGGGAACAATTTTGGAAAGAAGAGGCAATGGCAGCTGGCTGGATATGCCTTAGAGGCTGACAATCCATTTTATGGAAACTGAGGCACAGAGAGGTTGAAGCTACATTGAATTGCTCTTTAGTGATGGTAGTTTAAGGGATTAAGGGGCTACTGAGTACCTCTCCAAAAGCAAACAAGCAGCCAGTGCTAGTGGAATCAGGTTGGATGGGCTCTGCCCAATGTTTCAGCCAGGGAGGACAGGGCACAGGCAGTATCTAAGGGTTTGAAGCCCTGGGCATCAGCCTGGGGGAGTAGCTTTCTACCTGATCTCAGGTGGATCTTGTCCAGCTCACAGACCACAACCCAGGAAGGAGGCCCATGTTTTCCGCTGCCTGATGAGCCTCAGGAGTTAATAATTAAGGGTTTAAGAAGATAGAAGCTTGTCAAGCCCCGCCCGGCCACTGGGCTGCTGCTCCTTCGAGATAGCAAAGGTTAGTGTGAGGCTCTGCCTGGTGTGCAGACAGGCTCTTGCTGCTTGCCCTCCTAGTAGTGTTCAAGGGGACCTCAGCCTGGCCCCTAGACATGGAAGCCTCTGAGGAGCCCAGGCAGTGCCCTGCCCGGGGGTCATGCCCAGTGTTCTTGGCCATGAGCTCAGGCACTGTCCGCTATGCCCCATCAGGTTTGAGTCCTATACCTGAGAGGAACTGTAGAGAGGAACACTGGAATACAAACAGGTGAGCTCTGGTCTTGGGACGCCTAGGGGAGGTGAGGGTATGGATCTTGCCCCTCTGCAGGGACACGGGGGATCAGAATGCACTGCTTTGAATCAGGAAGAATTTTAGGAGCTTCCTATAGGGTGGGCACTTGGGAGCCCTGATTGTCTGATCCAACCTGAGGGTTAGACTTAAGGTAACTGAAGCTCAGAGAGGGCAAGCTACTCATGGTAGGTCACAGCTAGAAACAGCCCTAAATGCTGTCTAGGCTGGTTCCCAAGTCTTGTGTGCCTTCAGCCTCAGCCTAGGGTCTGTGACTAAGGGTAACCAGCTGGGGAGGGGAGGATGGCTGGGGGAGGGGAAGGTGTGTGGAAGGAGGGAGGCTTTCAGTGGTTAGAGATATAGACACATCTTTAATTTTTCCCTCTCCACTGGCTGGGCCAGGCACCTAGTAGATGTGCAGTAACCCTCTGAAGGCTGGCTGTATCCAGCTGCAGACCAGGGGCTCTGGGTTGTCTCTTGGAAAAATTGCTGTAAAGGATTTATACCTCACCACACCTGGCTGTGTGACATCAGGCGGATTCCTTAACTTCTCTGAGTTTATCCCTTTCCAGTGCTTCCCCGGGTGTGGGGGTGGGGGGAGGGTAGAGAAGTGGGGGATGGGGGGCTGTATGGCCTGGGAGTTCACAGAGTCTAGATGTATTGATGAGAAGATATTTTTGGTTAGTGATTGCATGCCAATGCTGTTAGGGTGAAGACCACACACTTGTCCTTTGAAGCCTCCCTCAGGGACTCCCAGGGTGAGGCCTCTCTCTCTGGCACTGTAGAGCTTTGCTGACATCTCCTCCCCCTTCATCTCTCACTAATCCCACTGCTATAATTTACCTTCATCCTAGCTTTTAAAGACTTGGGAGGCAAGGACCCTGTCCTGGACACTTTTGTGCCATCTTTCCTTCCTTCCCCTGGATATTGACCAGAATAAGGAGCAGGAAAACAGCATTTGCTCAAGGCTTAGCTAGTGATGGGTTCAAGTCAACAAATTATGTTGACATCTGCTTTGGGCCAGCCCTTAAGCTGGTCCAGGCTGGGTGGAGGAATTTAGCTCCAAGAAAGGGTTGATCCAACCCAGGAAATGTCATAGCCTGATAGATAAGCATCCCATAGAGAGTGAAGGACACAAGTGACCTGGGCTGAGGATCCGTCAAGGTGAAAAGGATGCTTTGGAGAGCTGCCCTGGTTCTTCAGGCTGTAAAATGCCAGCCATGGGGAAAGACATGGACTCCAGCCTGTTTTCCACTCACCAAGTGCTTGTTTCTATAAGCTGGGAAAGGAGCACTCTTTTCTATTTAAATAATATTTATGTGTGTGTTTGTGCACATTCATGCAGGCACCCTCAGAGGCCAGAAGAGGGCTTAGGGTCTCCCCAGAGCTGGAGTCAGAGGAGGTTGTCAATTGCCAACTGTGGGTTCTGGGAACCAAACTTGGGTTCTCTGCAAGAGTGATGCATTCCTTTACTGGCTGAGTCACCTCTCCAACCTAACTCACTTTTGTTTTGAAAGGAGACACTGAGTTGGTGAAGATGGGTCCTAGGCAAGTTGAGGCTCTGGCAGTAGACACCCTTGAAAGCAGGGTCTCCCACCTGTGATCCACCACACTGCATGCCATAAGCCAAGCATGGTGGCACACAGCTGTGGTCACAGCCACTGAGGAAGCTGAGGGAGGATCGTTGCAGTCCAGAAGCTGGAGATCAGCCTAGCTAATATATGACTCACATCCACTGAGAAGAGGGGATTAAGGGAGATGGGGGTGGGGGGGTGAGGGGGTGGGGGTATAGGGGTGTGAGGAGTTGTTCCAGCCTGGAGGGTCTCCTGTTTTTGCAGGAGCTCAGAAAGGGCAGCAGGATGTCTCTTCATGTGGGTGGATGAATGAGATTTGTTCTTTCTCAAAAGCCCAGAGAGGTCTGCAGACCCAGCCTGTGGGAGCTGGTCCTAGCAGGACTCCAGGAGGGATTGGCTATGGGCTTTACTCATTGGATCCATCATAAACTGAGGCTAAACCTCATTCAGGGCAGTGGTCAGGGCCAGGATAAAAGCAGGCCAGAGGAACTGAGGGACAGATGACCAGTGGCCAGGGATTCAAGCTTTTCATAAATCTGTTTTTAAATACCTGGGACGGACAGGTGCTTGTGAGGTTGGTAGGGTAGTCTTCAGAGCTTAGAATGGCTGGAAAGGAAAGGCTGGGATGAGCAGTGTTTAGAGGTACATGGGGAGGGCCCTGAAAAACAGAATTGGTAAGTTGGGCCAAAGTAGTGCTCTCTTGGGTTAACTCTTAAACGAATGGGACTTGTTTGGGGTCTCCTCTATCCCATTCCCAAAAGTCCAGTGTCACAGAAGGCTGACGCAGAGCTCTAAGCTCCAGAGTCTGGTAACACTGCTAGAAGTCTGAGTGTGTAGGAGGTATCTGCCTGCTTGGAGTGACAACCTGCAGGAGAATCATAGCTGAGACCTTCGGGTTCTTAAGCAAGGGCGGTCCAAAAGTGAGAGGCAGAGAGTGACTGGGAAAGGCCGAGGTCAGCTCTGGCTGAGAGATGACAGACCAATTCTGCCCTCTCTGCGGGATCACAGTCCCCTCGCAGCTAGAGGGACAGGCTGGGCTGGCAGAGGGGCGGGGCCGGGCACGTGGCCTGGGGCCGCCTCTCAAGCACGTGACTCGCCCAGGGCAGGGGAAGGGCTTGGGTGGGGCGGAGCCTCAAACCTTGGCGGCCCGCGGGACAGACCCGCCGTGGAGCGATTGACAGGCTGCAGGGCAGCTCTGGTGCCCGGGCAGAGTTGGCTGTGCGCGTGGACGCGGCTGCGACAACGCAGAGAGCCGGGATGTGGAGCGGGTAGGTCCCCGCACGCTAGTGGCTCTGCTGTTGGTCTGGGCCGCGCTGGCCTCCTGGGGTGGGAGAACGGGGGGGGGGGGGTCACCGTTGTTGTTTGCACCCCACTCCCCACTCCTTGCCTGCAGCGGAGGGGAGTGGTGTACTGTGAGGACACGCTGCTGCCCGAAAGCTGGAAGGATCCTGGCGGGACCGATCTGAGTTGCCCCCCAGGCTGGGAAGGTGACAGCCCAACTCCTCCTAGCGCCAATGGAGCGCATGAGAGAAGTGGGGGTGGGGTAGGGGAATGGGTAGTAGTATGTATATTTCAAAGTAAATCTGGGGCACACATTTGAAGGAGGGAACACCCATGAACTCTGGGAAAGCAGTGCAATTGAGAAAGCTAGCTGTGTCTCTCCAAGGTCCCTGGCCTATTCACTGGGATCTTTTGACTCGAGATGTGGGATGGGTCTCTGCTGACCCATATCTGGAGCGGAACAGCACAGATCCTGAGACTTGGGTGAGCCCTCTCCACATACCTCACCCCCACTCACATCTGTTAAGGCCATTGGTCCTTAAGGCTGATTCCTGTTCTTGGTCAATCTAATAGGAGATCCTGCTCTGTATTCACAAGATTGAGGTCCTTTCTTGAATTTAGGCAAATACATTCTTCCTGGCCTAGAAAGACTAGGTGTTGGGGGGTGGGTGTTTCTACTAAGGACTGTCCCAGGATAAAAAGAAAGACAAAAAGCTCCTGGGGAGGGGAATAGGGGCGATCTATTTACTCTCATGGGCCCGAGCTGAGCTTGGCCTGAAGGGCTAGGGGAGAAATGGGGCTTCCACTCCAGGCAGGGTACCAAACCCGAGCTCATGTGAGGTGTGGACAGGCTTGGATCTTTTAGAGGGAGCTGAAGCCAGCCTGTGTTTGTTGGAATTTCACTCCAGGAAAAGAGACTAACTAGACTTGGAAAGTGTTAGGGGTAGGTGGGCTCCTGGTGTCTGCAAAGTTGAGGCAATCCTGCTTGGGGATGTATGTGCCTGATTTGTCTGGGGCTGTGTGTTTGAGGAGCAGCCTGGTTTGAAGGAAGTTGTGACCTTTATGCTGGGTGGGCTGAGGCCATTGCAGTATGACCCTAAGGGTGCAGGTCTCCTTCTCTGTGCTGGAGCCAGCTCTATCTGTATTTGTGTGTTTGTTATGGCAGGGTCCTGAGTGGGGATGAACAGAAGTGATTGGACCCTGTGGGAGCCAGGAGTAGAGATCCTTCTAAGGATTCCAGAGCATAAGCCTCACTGGCATAGATTGGCCTCAAACTCCCTGCATAGTCAAGGATGGCCCCCTCTCCATTTCCCAAGGACTGGGGCTCAGGCATGCCACACAAGGCCTCCTGGTTTGTGCAGTGCTTGGCTTGGAATCTTGAGCTTTGTGTGTGCTGGGCCCCAGTCTCACTTTGTTTTGCTTTGTTTTTGGATGCAAGTTCTTGCCTTATAGATTAGGCTGACCCAGAACTCTTTTTAAATAAAATTTTATTAGTGTTCAGGGGGTGTGTGTAAAATGGGGGGAGGACACATGCATCACCACACACAGGTTGACGTCACAGAACAACTTTATGAAGTTGGTACTCGTACTTTTACGTGGGCTCTAGGAAATGAACTAAGACCCCCACACTTACACAGCAAGCTCCCTTCCTCCATTAGCCATCTCACTGGCCCTGGCCTAGAATTCTTGCTCCTCCTGCATTAGTCTCCTCAGTGCTGCACTGCTATGCCTAGCTGTCTAACCTCACTTAAGGCTAATCCTCCACTCCCCTCACCTACCCCATAATGGGCTTCTCTTCCATTTCCTATAGCTTCACAGGCCTGTGGTCTTGGGGGCCCAGCCCACACTAGATGATGTAGTGAGGATGACACTTTGAGATTTCTGCACCTAACACGGGCCTGGGCACTTGACATTTGTTCATCAGCGACCAGATTCTGGATTTGGTCACACTGAGCAGCCATAATAACGCTGGTGTGACCCTCTGGTCTCAGATTCCCACACACTGGATGGGACTAATTAGATCTATCTCTAGGGAGAACTGCTAATGGACTGCTGAGAAAAAAAGTTGACCCAGCCTCCCTGGTGTCAAGAGCCAAGCCTTTCCCCTAGCCAATGACTAAGGAG